AAATCCCATCACAGAGTCGATTGCCAGTCATTGTAGGGAATGACTACTACCAGCTGCCCAGCCAAGTTGATACCTGACCTTAACTACCACACCACCCCAAACAGGCATGGATAATGGGATTTACGAAACACCACAGAATGGAGGACAATGGCTAGAAGGGCCACATCAAGCAATTCACTGCAGCCATTAAGGGGAAACTGTGACAATCTAATAAAGACCAACCTGCCCCCTGTCCCCTCTGTCAAAAACTCAGATGCGTAGGAAAAAGTTTACATTTTACATCACCCCTCTAGGTGAAGAATCTGATTCATTGGCACTTTTAGCAGAGGGTAAGGAACATGGAATAGATGGTGAAAGAGAAATGAATGTGAACTTGACCTTATGACCAGTTACAGAAACAAAGAATGTAGCAGGCATATTTTTCTTATATTTATATTATGTTACAACTATAAATATAGTAAATAGATATTGTTACCAATCTTGTTATATATAAATATGTATCATTATCTATTAACCAAGTATTTATTTTCCCTTTTTCCTTCCTTCTCCTACTATTTTTTATGTTGGTTTTTCTTTCCTTTACATTTAGATCATAATTCACCAAACAGTGAGGAGACATTTACAGTCCTGATGGAGAGGACCTCATATTATCTGGAGTACCTGGGCGTGGTGATGGATGCTATGTCAGATGGTACTTTGTGTTTTACCTTTTTGGGAAGAAATTGAGATGTTCTTCATTTGTACAGAAGATAGTTGGATTCTGATGGGTGGAAGCATGGAGTTGTTTTATAAGAGTTGGTATAGGGAGAAGGGTGAGAATGGGTGCTGTGTTGCAACATGGGTAGGCTGTGGTATCCATTTGCATATTTACACTGATTTATCTCTCATTTTTTCTATGTTCTGCTCAGTGTGGGAGGGACCTACATTTCCCAGACTCTCTTGCACTTTGACCATTGCAGAGCAACAGGCAATGGAAAAACACTAGCAGAAGAGAGCAAGGTAGTAGGAAAAGAAAAGTCTGGATGTTTATCCTCATTTCTTTCTTTCTCTCTTTCTCTCCTTTGGATGGCATCTCTAGCAGTGGCTGGAACTCCCTGCTCTGTTGTCCCAGCTCATGCCAGGCAACTCCTGCTATAGGTTCTAGGTCTTTCTGGACATTCTATAATTTTTCTCCAACATTAAGTGTGTTATTACTGTCATTTTTTTTTTTTTTTTTTAGTATTTATGGATTGCCTCACTCTTCTTTGTATACTACTCAGCTTTTTTATCAGCTGTATGTCCAATTCCCATTATTACCTTCCTACTGTTTGAAGGGAACTCTAGTGGTATAGTGGGTAAAGCATTTGACTGCTAACCAGAAGGTCAGCAGTTCAACACACCAGCTGCTCCATGGGAGGAAGATGAGGCAATCTACTTCTGTAAAGATTTATAGCCTTGGAAACCCAAGAAGCCTGCTATGAGTTAATCAACTTGATGACAATGAATTTGGTTTGATTTGGGTTACTGTTTGAAATACCTAGAGTAGTAATTTCTGTTTTCCTAACTGGACCCTGACTAATAAAATGTGTATGTGTGTACTATAAAATCAATTTGTATAAAATATCATATAAGCATTTGTGGTTATAGTGTGTGTGTATGTGTATATACATATATATGAATTATATACATATAAATTCATGTGGTGGGTATATAAATGTATGTAAAGGGAATATGCAAGGATAAGTTTTTAAAGGGAGAGTAAAGGGGGGCTTGCAATTTTCTCTGTATCTGTTTTTATTTTATTTTCATTTATTTTTCACAACAAACAACTTTATTGTTTTTTAAACGTATAGTCCTTTTTGAATGATCTAAAGATTCCTAACCTTGCCCATCTGGTGACAGCTTTAATGTTCTCAAGGTTTTATATATAGGCCATGCTAGTGTAGTGGCAGTGACTTTCCCTTATCCACACCTCTGTGGTTACTAACTACTGTCCAGGCAGCCCCTTGACTCATGACAGCCCCTGCACAATGGAACAAAATGCTGCTCAACCCTGCGACATCCCCATGATTGGTTGCAGTTAGATCATCGGGTTTCCACTGGCTGATTTTCAGAAGTAGATCTCCAGACCTTTATTCCTAGTCCATCTTCATCTGGAAGCTCCACTGGAATCTGTTTAGCATCATAGCAACACACAAAGCAACTACTGAGAGCTGGGTGGTTGCAGTGCTCGAAGTGCATTGGCCAGCAGTCAAACCCAGGTCTCCCACATGTTCAGGCAGGAATTCTACTACTGAACCACCCTTTCCATTAGACATCATGAGTAATGTATATCTGTTTGGCTCAATTAAAATATTTCTGATTTCATTTTCTTGTGAATCTATTTTGTTCACTGTGGTCCAACAAATATTTCCTAAAAATTTACACAAGATATGAAATCACAGTGTCTCCATCTGATTTCAATGAATTCATTCTGCAACTACCATATCCTATGTTATAAGATTCCAAATGAATGTAAAAATAAGTAAGCATTTGCTGTGTTGGTAGGATTGTCATTTTGTTGTGATTTTTTCAGTGCTAAAATTTGTCAAGTGCTAATTTTCTAAGGAATAAGACAAAATGATACTCTTAATTTCAGAAACCTGAAAGAAGAACTATAAAATTACATTTTCTTTCTAACAAGTTCATAAGCTTTAAAATCCCAAGATAGTTTAACATGCTTAATATCAGAAGTCATTGTTTTACGATAATCCCAGCAGTATTCCGGTGACAAGATTTTAGTAGGTTTATGGAGAAAGAAATACTTGTTTAAGTGGCTTTCATCATGCCACACAGCTTCAATGTTATTTTTCTTGTCCTTCATGATTCCTTTTAAGCACTCCTGGGCAATATTTAGAACCGTAATGGGAGTGCCACCAAAAACAGCAGCATGGTAATAAAAATCTCCCTTACCCACAGGTATATATGCTTCTGAAAATTGACGTCTTTCATAAGGCACTATAGTAGTATTTGCCTGGTACCAATACGCATGTAACTGAGCCACTGACTCCCCCAGAGTTTCCAGTCCATATGTGCTTTCAAAGATTTGGTCCACATCCATGCAAAAGAGGAAGTCAACTTCATATTGGATGTGATCAACAATGTGCTCACTGATGGTCTTCATGCGCATCATACTGATATCTTGCCATCTCTTCTCTCGTTTAATTTCAAAAACTTTGAGTGAACGGAGGGGACCCAGATGTATCCAAGGCATCTTGGAGAAGTCATCTACCATGACATACATTATGACTTTTTGGTCAATCATAAAAAACTTATCAGCAGATAACATAAATCTAAGCAAATAGAAATCAATGTATCTGTGAAGGAAATAAGAAATGATTAAGTTCATCTCCTTATATTTTAGTAGTACACATTCTATTTAAATTACACTGAATATAGTTTATATAACAATGCTATAAACAACCAAATGTGGGATATGCTTCTTGAGTTGTATTTAAGGAGTATAGAAGAAAATAATTAACTGCCTTTCTGCCACCTAATGGAGTTCTATGGAGGAGTGCTTCATGGAAGGGAATAAAACTTGGTGAAATCAGCATACTGAGCAGAGCCCCGCCTAAAATACAAGTCAGAGTTTTCAGGCTTATCAGAGTAAGAGGAACTTGCTTTGGAGGTTGTAGGCAAGAAAGGTCTTAGGTTACTGCGGGCCGAGTTATTGTCCAGCCACTCCTTGGAAGGAAGGTTGGGCAATCTACTTCCATAGTGATACTGCCTCAGAAACCCCAGGAGGGGTTGCTATGGGTTCCATCTGACTCCACAGCAATGGTTGCATTGAGTATAGTTTGCTTTGAGTAATACATGAAAAGACAGAGGTGGCATGGTTAGTACTCCCTTGTCTCACTTTCTTTCTTATTTTTATTTAAATTTATGTTATTGTTCTTGTGGAGCAAATGCACAACAGAACATACACCCACTCAGCGATTTCTATACATACAGTTCAGCGGCACTGATCCCATTCTTTGAGGCCTACAGTCGTTCTTACCCTCCTTTTCCTAGTTGATCCTCCCACATTAGTATAAACTCACTGTTCCTCACCTTTCTTAGTTTGACTTGTGGTCCTTAGCATGGCTTCACAAAATAGTCCACAAGTCTATAACACAGTTCCCTATTAAGTCAAAATATTTTCTTGCTTATATGTTGGCCAGTTATGATTACAGCATATTTTCCATTACTTTTTAATCCTTCTTTTCTTGGGAAATATTATATACTCCAAGTTAGCACTCATCACATAACTTAGTTCTGGGCAATAAGCTTCCTATAATATAGTTGGGACTATTTTTCATTCAGCCTTTATACCTATCACAGATATTGGCAGCAAGAAAGCCTTCAAAATAACTCCTGGGTTTTTGGAACATGTTGACTTCGTTTTTTTAAAGTCTTATTTCCTTTCTGGCACAATAAGCTATCCCAAGCTCATATAGTTTTTTTCCATGTTCCAGCCCAAGAAACAGCACTTTTTCCAGGGAATACTGGTTACTACACTAAAAGTGTAGAAAGATATTTAGAAACCAAGGGAAGTCATTTTTTCTGAGCCCTTTTAGTGACTCAGTCTGTCTTTTCCTTTTCCATATTTGCAACAGTGAGTACCATGACCTTTACTATCCTTCATCCATTTAATCATATGCTCAATCTCTAAGTATGCAAAAGGTAGTACCAGAATTGCTAACTTATACCATTAAAAATCAAGCAAGCAAACAAACAAAAAACCCAGCTAAGTAGACTTCAATATTTGTTTACAATTCTTTTTGTCTTTAGTCTGAAGGTATATAGTCAAGTACTGTGTTAAATAGTTATTTTGGTATTGTATTGGAAGTCCTAGCCAGAGCAATAAGGTATAAAAGGAAAATAAAGTGTATCCAAATTGGAAAGGAAGAAGTAAAACTCCCTCTGTTTGGAGATGATATGATCTTATACATAGAAAATCCCCCAGAGATTCCACAAGAAAGCTACTGGATCTAATAGAAGAATTCAGCAAAGTGGCAGGGTACAAGGTCAACATACAAAAATCAGGGGAACTAACAGAAAACTATGAAAAGGAAATTGAACAATACCGTTTATAATAGTCTCAAAAAATGAAAAAATACCTAGGAGTAAACCTAACGAGGGAGGTAAAAGATCAATACAATGAAAACTATAAACACTGAAGGAAACTAAGAAAGACCAACATAACTGGAAGAACATTCCATGTGCATGGATTGGAAGCCTTAACTTTGTGAAAATGTCAATACTACCCAAAGCAATCTATAGATATAATGCAATCCCAACCAAAATTCCAACAACATTTTTTATTGAAAAGGAAAAACTTATCACCAACATTATATGGAAAGGAAAGAGGCCCGGAATAGCCAAACTGATGTTGAAGAATGACAAAGTAGGAGACCTTATACTTCTTGATCTCAAAACGTACTACACAGCCGCAGTAATCAAACCAGCTTGGTACTGGTTCAGTGACAGAGGTGTAGACCACTGGAGTACAACAGAGAACCCAGATATAAATCCATCCATCTAAGGGCAGCTAATTTTAGTGAAGGGGTCAGAGTCTACTTGCTGGGGAAGAAACAGTCTCTTTAACAAATTATGCTGGCAAAACTGAGTATCTACTTGCAGAAAAATGAGACAGGATCTATACCTCACACCATACACAAAAACTAACTCAGAATGGACCAAAGACATAAATGTTAAAGCTAAAACTATAAAGTTCCTGGAAGATAACATAGGGACAAAATTATGGAACATAATTAAAAAGGAAAAAAAAAAGTTATCAAACAACCAGAAATGAGTGAATAACAGAAAACCAATTAAACTTTTAGAACCCTCATCAAAAGAGTAAAACGATAGCCTACACACTGGGAAAAAAAAAAAATCTTTGAGAACAACATAATCGATAGGGGTCTTATCTCTAAAATATATAGAAAACTTCAATAAGTCAACAACAAAAAGACAAACAATCTAATTAAAAAATGGTCAAAGGACATGAACAGACCTTCACCAGAGAGGATATTCAAGCAGCCAACAAACAGATGAAAAGATGCTTACAATCGTTGTTGTTGTTATGTGCCATCGAGTCAGCCCTGACTCATAGCAACCCCTCCTTGGGTTTCCGAGGCAGTATCACTATGGAAGTAGGATTGCCCAACCTTCCTTCCGAGGAGTGGCTTATGGGTTTGAACCGCCAGCCATCTGGTGAGCAGTCAAGTGCCTTAGCCACTATGCTACCAGAGCTCCCCTTACAATCATTAGCCATTTAAAAAAAAATCAAACTCAGTGCCATCAAGTTGATTCTAACTCATAGTGACCCTATAGGACAGAGTAGTACTGCCCCATAGAGTTTCCAATGAATCTTCAAGGAAGCAAACTGCCTCATCTTTCCCCTACAGAGTGGTTGGTGGGTTCCAACCACTGAGCTTTTGGTTAGCGGCCCGATGCTTTAACCACAGTGCCATCAGAGCTTCTTTTAGCCACTATTGTTGTTATGTGCCGTCGAGTTGGACCCAACTCATAGCGACCCCTCCTTGGCTTTCCGAGGCAGTATCACTACAGAAGTAGATTGCCCAGCCTTTCTTCTGAGGAGTGGCTGGTGGGTTTGAACCACCAGCCTTCTGGTTAGCACTCAAGTGTCTTAGGCACTATGCTACCAGAGCTCCTAGGTGTTACAGGAGGAACAGATAAAGAAGGAGGCCCTGAAAAAAGTATTCAAAGACATAATGATTGTAAATGTCCCAATTTGGCAAAAACATAACAACATAACCCTACAGAATCAAGAAGCTGAGCAAAACCAAAACAGGCAAAATGCATAGAAATACATGCCAAGGCACATCATAATCAAACTTCTGAAAATGTTAGAAGCTGAATACGAAGAAAAAATTCTTGAAAGCAGATAGGGAAAAACGACACATTACCAGTAGGGGAACGATGATTCAAATGACAGTGGATTTCTCATCTCAGATGAGATGAGATGGAGGCTAGAAGTGGCCCAATATTTTCAAGTGCTAAAAAAAAAGAAAAATCAACCATGAATTTTACAGCCAGTGAAAATATCTTTCATGAATTAAGACAAAGAAAACTATTAAAAAAAAAAAAAAGAAGCAGCTTGGGATGTCTAGAAGCAAGAAAAGACAATGGAATGGGTAAGCATAGAAGTAAATATAATAGACTATCCTTCTTTTCATGTGTTTGTTAAATTCATTTGATAATGAAAAATTACATGGTCTGACATGCTGTGTGATGTATATAGAGGAAATTACATTTTAAAAATGGGGAGAGTAAAACAATCTAAAAGGATGCAAGATTTACAGACTTCACTTGAAATGATAAAATGCAATTGCTAGTAAATTGTGGTAAGTTACAGATGTACATTATAATACATAGAGCAACCTCTAAAAAACTGTACAAAGAGCTATATTCAAAAACACTACAGATAAAATAAAAAAAAGAATTCTAACAAATATTCAGTTAAACCATAGGAAGATGGGAATAAAAACAAAGGAGATAAATATAAAACAAATAATACAATGCCATATTTAAGCTGTAACATTAATAATCAAATATATAAATTATGTAAATATACTAATCAAAAGACCTATTGGCATACTAGGTGAAAAATTAAAAGAAACTAAATCATACAGTGTGTATTCACTGATTGGAATGAAATAACTAGAAATTAATAACAGAATGATAATAGAAGAACAAACACCTCTATTTGTTTGATTCTTCCCTAGAAGCGTTGCTTCTTCATGCCTATCACTTCAGGTCCTTCTAACTTTCAAGTTCTTTTCGTAATTGGATCCCAACTAGTGTTCAACATTTTAGCAATTATTGTTGAGCTTTTTCTTTCTAAGGATGAATTCTGTTTGTGCTTTGTCTAAGACCTCCTTTCACTTACCTCTTTTGCATGGAGTCTTTTAAGCCTCCTCTTTCTTGTTCTCCTCACCTATAGGCTTGCAGCTCTTTTAGAGTTTGGTGTTTATTTCTCTACTTGCAAGTAATATGAAGGTCATGGTATTTTTCTATGTCCTAGTAATGCTGAAGGAGCTCTGGTGGCGTAGTGTCTAAGGCATTTGACTGCTAACCAGAAGGCTGTTGGTTCAAACCCACCAGCCACACCACGGAAGGAAGACTGGGCGATCTACTTTCTTAAAGATTTACCACCTCAGAAACTCAAAGGGGGTCATTATGAGTTGGAAATCTACTTGATGGCAGTGAAGTTGGCTTGTTTTTTTTTTTTTTTTTGAGTAATGCTGAAGCCATGTGTCACGTGTGGTTTTGTGTTACTGATTTTATAGTTTGGGGGATGATGTGTATGGAGATTTGGATTCAGGCAGCTTCCATGAACCTCCGCATTCGTTGTTTGGCCATGTTTCTAAGACTAACATTGTTTAGGAGATCACAGTGTAGTTCACAGTATAGCTCAAAATATAGCCTTGTAGGTAGTTTTCTTTTTGATCTCATTTTTGATCAAAGCTAAATGCTATAAATAGATTTTTCTCCACCTAGCAACAACAACAATGTGGAATGAGATTCCTACAAGGGTATTGTAATGGTCTGTATATGCCCCTAGATTTTACCACTCTAGGTAAGGAATCATTGTCGGATTGTTTCAGGGTTATCCCACCTACTTTGAAAATGAAATGCACATGATGAGTTTTGTAGATATATGCATCCAATTTGATGCCTTCTCCATATTTGGCTCAAATTCCACCTTTTTTGGCAAGTAAAAGTCAAAGTTAAAAGTTTAACTTGGGATTTTTCCTAGTTTTATTAAACTTGCCTGAAATATTCAACTCCTTTTTATTCATACTTTTGTTGTTTTCATAGGGTTTTAGAAGCTGGGGGATTGAGTCAAGTGGCTGTATTTTCCACCTTTAAATGAAAGTATTTCATAATAACTTTTTTCAAGAGTTGATTTTATGGTTTTTAATTTTATATTTGATTAGGAATTAAGAATGCATTGATTTTTTTATTTAAAGTTACCGGATGATTTAATTTACTCTTTTATTTTCAATATGTTTGCATTAATGAATGGTAATCAGAAAATATGGCATGTAAAGATTCTACTTAAGATAATTGCAATTACCTTGTTTTGTTGTGTATTCAACCAAAAAATCAGTAAGGCCAGAGAAGGGGTCAGTAAGGCCACAGAAGGGGTCAAAAACAGTGGGTTTCTCTGAGAGCACTTTATGACTTGGGAGAAGCATGAGATGGAGCAAATTATTGGCTTGATACAGTGAGAAGACATTGAAGAATGACTATTTCAGAGGCATGAACTTGTGAAGAAACAGAATAGACTTGAGAAATTAAGTAAATTTTGGGAGGGAATTTAAAATTAGATAATAGAAAAAAAAATGGAAGGATTAGTATGTTTTCTGGCTGAACCAAGTGGTAAATGATATTTAGAATTATTGCAGGAATTGGCCTAAATAGAATAGCTATTAAGTTAAATTATGAGGTATTTCAGTATATGTTTTCATATTTTCTGGAACAACAACAACAACAAAAAAAACTGAATGTAAAGGATATTTGACATCATTACTTACCTTCCAACAGCAAATACAGTCAACCCCACAGTAATTTTATGATGTGCATAATAATTTTTCAAGACCTTTTCATTGTAAGTGCCATGCCACACAACTGGAGCTGACCATTTGGTAGTCAAGTTCATGTGTGCACTGTAAGAAAGACATAGCATTTTGAATAAAATAACCTTTTAATAAAATAGCAAGAGATATTAATAATGCATAAAACCTGGGGTCTGATTCCTGCATTTCCTTATTCAGAACCCAAAGCCTTGATGGTTACGATAAACTAGATCAACAGTTTATTAGTAAGGGGCAGAGCACTATAAAAGCACACTTACAAATTAGTTATATTGTGATTTGCAAAATTCTTGAGAACACATAATCTAAATATCTACCAAATCTAAAGTCATAATTTCCATTATATATAGGCCAAAATCTCCAGGCCTTAGGACTTTGCCATTGATTATTTTTGAAGACCACATTTGAAAAAAGAATTTCTTAGTTTTCATAATCTGAAATGCTGCCAGTGCTGATACTAATATAAACCAAAAACGCATCTGTAAAGTAGGCTGGCAGTTCAAACCCACCAGCCACTCCTCAGAATTAAGGTTGGGCAATCTACTTCTGTAGTGATAACTGCCTTGGAAACTCAAGGAGGGGTCTGACTCGATGGCACATAACAACAACAACAAAGTTGTTTCATATGAGGACTTAGATTCTTACTTGAGGTGGACCCATTTAAGTAATGAATGATTTTTATCTTTTTATATCCAGATGCTGGATACAAAGAGAAAATAAACAGTGAAGCAATGGGCATCTGGTGAAGCTGTTTGGATTGCCTTTTAGATAACAAAATGGATTTGGTGAAGCAAGATAATGTGGCTTAAGTAAAGCATATTAAAGGAAACATAAATCAAAGCCCAGAGTCCACATATGATGAGGGCTTTAATAATTCACACACAAAAGGACAAATATTACATGATCCCACTTGCATGAAATATCTAAAATAGGTGAATATAGATTCCTAGTGATTACCAGGGTGAAAAGGAAGGGGAAGCGAGTTACTACCTGAGGAATTTCTGTTTGGGATATTGAAAAACTTTTACAGATAGATAATAATGAATATAGCCAATGTCACAGAATTATATACATAAAAAAGTTTTAAATGGTGATTTTTGTGATACACGCACATGCACACACACATATATATATTCACAATAAAATTATTTTAAAAAGAGATATAAACAAACATTGGGGGAAAAAAAGCAAAGCTCAGGAAAACTCAGACAGTATAAACTCAAAGAAAACCACACTGAGACACATCATAATCAAATTGGTAAAAATCAAATATAAAGAAAAAAATATTCAAAAGCAACTCGAGAAAAATGGTACGTTATAAAATTTGAATGAGTGCAGATTTCTCATAAGAAAATATAGAGAGCAGAAGATAGTAGAAAAACCATTTTTATTATGGTAAGTATATATAGAAAACAAAATATTGGCCAACTCAATGTTTTTTACATGTACAACTCAGTGACAACGATTATGTTTCTCATGCTGTACAGTCATAAACACTGTTTGTTTCCAAAATTTCTCACACTCTGAACCAAAACTCATTGCTGCCTAAGCACTGACTCCTTCTATTCCCCTGCCTCCTGCCCTTGATAACCACTAATAACATTGATCTCTATAGATTTGCCTGTATTCTAGATATTTCATATAAATGTGATCATTTTTTTGTGACTGACTTAATTTACTCAAGGTGAAGCCATGTTGTAACATGTATTGTTGTTGTTGTTATTTGCCATTGAGTCAGCCCCGACTCATAGTGACCCCTCTCCTTGGGTTTCTGAGGAAGTAGGATTGCCCAACCTTCCTTCCGAGGAGTGGCTGGTGGGTTTGAACCGCCAGCCTTCTGGTGAGCAGTCAAGTGCCTTAGGCACTATGCTACCAGAGCTCCTGTAACATGTATTAGGACTCCATTTCTTTTTATGGCTAAATAATATTTCATTGTATGTATGTTCCACATTTTGTCTTTCCATTCATCTGTTGATAGACACTTGGGTTGTTCCCATATTCAGTGCTGCAATGAATATTGGTGTAACAGTATCTGTCTGAATCCCTGCTTTCAGTTCATTTGGGCATACATCTTGGAGTAGAATTACTAGGTAGAATTACTAAGTCATAATAATCGTTAAAATGGTCATTCCATATTTAACTTTTAGAGAAACTACCAAACTCTTTTCCACAGTGGCTGTACCACTTTACAATCCCATGAACCATGGATGAGGGTTCCAATTTCTCCACATCCTTGTCAACAGCTTGTTTTCCTTTAAGAAAATGTTACTTTTCTTATCATAGTCAGTTGATGTGAAGTGATATCTAATTGTGGTTTTGGGTTTTACTGAATGCCTTTTCTGCATTGATTGAGGTGATCATGTGTTTTTGTTTTTTTTTCTCCTTTTGTTCTATTAATGTGGTATATTACATTGATCGATATTCAAATGTTGAATCACCCTTGTATTCCTAGAATATATCCCATTTGATCATGTTATATAATCCTCTTAAAATGTTTTTGGATATGGTTTGCTAGGCTTTTGTTGAGAATTTTTGCCTCTTCATTTCCAAGGGATTCTGGTCTGTAGTATTCTTGTGTCTTTGTTTGGCTTTTGTATCAAAGTAAGGCTAGCCTTGTAAAATGAGTTAGAAAGTGTTCTCTCTTTTGTTTTTTTGAAAAGTTTAAAAATTGGAGTCACTTCTATAAACGTTTGTTAGAATTCCCTACTGAAACTGTCTTATACAGAACTTTCCTTCGTTGGGTGGCTTTTGATTACTGATTCAATCTCTTCAGTTTTTATGAGTTTGTTGAAATTTTCTAATTCTAATTTAAATCAGTGTAGGAAGTTTATGTGTTTATAGGATTTTTCCATTTAATTGATATTATCTAATTTGTTGGCATACAATTATTTATAGTATTCTTTTACGATCCTTTTTATTTCTGTAGGGTCATTTGTAATAGCTCCACTTTCAATTCTGATTTTTGATACAGGTTTTGTCAGCCAAGCAATCAGACAAATCCTTAATCAAAAAACCAACCAAACAAAACCCAGCTGAATATTGCTAAGAGAATGTCATGGTGTTTTAACTTACTCTGGCCCCACTCTCTACTCCCCATGCCAGCAGCAGCCTTGATAATAACAGCCAGCATTCTTAGTTTAGATTCCTGGTATCGGAAGCAGCAAAATGCACCTTATTTTCAAAGAATTGTCATAGTATGTTTTGACCTGTCTGGTGGCTCCTTGAAGGGCCAACTCAAAGTCCTTGCCTTTATTTCACCTAACTGAGATCTCTCCCAGTGCCAAGACAGCTATGTGATAGATACTTGTCAAAGACACAAAGGCAAATGTATTAGCTGCTCCTCTCTGGGGCAAGGGCTAAAAGTTGGCACACACAATAGACAAACTCAAAGCTTGAAAGAGAAGTTTGTAAAAAGGGATGCTTTGGAGAAAAATATCTTTGACAAAGCTCCCACATATTCCTAGGAATCTAGAAAGCTACACACATCCCCAGAACTAGGTTATACTCACAGAAGACCTGAGGAAGTCTTAAGTGCTCACCTCTGGCTGACCATCAAGCTCCACACCAGCAGGAAACGAAGGCTAAGGCAGAGTTGTAAACTGCCTGGCTGAGTACTGAAGCATGCACACTGAGAGAGGTCAGAGGAAGACTGTTGCACTAAAGAGTGAGTAACACAGATAACCCACCTGTCTCATTTGGGCTTTGGTTCTCTCATTAGTGAAATGAGGAAAATCAACCAAATGATCTCAATCATATCCTTATGCTTTTGCCCTGTTGTCATTCTAGGACCTTTGAGGTTACTTAATCTAAACTCTCACTCATGGTATATGTGGGTCCAAATGTCCATTCCCAATGGGTCTTGGAATGAAAAGTGTTGGAATAATAAAATGCATCTAGTCTGCAACATTTGGAATGCCACTAGTAGGTATTGTTGACATTTTTAAACTTCTTTAAGCAAACCTATATATTAATCTCATGTGGTGCAAGACTTGGATTCTTACGTGGGATAAAACCAGTCTGATAGCTTTAATTCTTCTGGTTGATTACCCAGAGACCTATAAGGAAAAAGAATGCAAAGAGTCACATTCTATCTCCTGGAATTTTAGATAATTAAACGTCTGCCAACTCATGGGCTGTATTATAGTAAGGTATAAAATGAAAGGATAAGAGTGAACTAATAAGAAAGGAGCTCTGGTAGCATAGTGGCTGAGACACTTGCCTGCTAACCAGACAGCTGGCGGTTCAAACCCACCAGCCACTCCTCGGAAGGAAGGTTGGGCAATCCTACTTCCGTAGTGATAACTGCCTCGGAAACCCAAGGAGGGGTCGCTATGAGTCGGGGCCGACTCGACGGCACATAACAACAACAACAAATAAGAAAAGAAATGATGAACTTTGATGTCAGTGGCATAGAAAAGTGGTTCCCAACCTCAACTGTACTGCACAGAAATCCTCATGTGGCTCACTAGTTAGTTCTCATTCTCTTTTTTTCTAGTTACCCAAGGAAATAGCAAGCATCCATCAGATGAAAGAGCCCTCAGTTGTCTGTTACTCACCTACACATTTACCTCTAAGATTGAATCCTTTTCTTTAAAATTACTCTTTTTTATTACAATGGACATATATACCTACTTTCTATCTAAGGTTAGCCCTTGTGATGCAGTGGTTAAGACGCTCAGCTGTTAACAGAAAGGTCAACAGTTTAAACCCTCCAGCTGCTCTGTGGGAGAAAGATGTGGCAGTCTATATCCATAAGGTTTTACAGCCTTGGAAACCCCATGGGTCAGTTTTACTTTATCCTGCAGGGTCACTGTGAGTTGGAACGGACTCAATGGCAGTGAGTTTAGGTTTTAGTTTTTATCTAAGGTTAGCCTTAAATATCCTGTCTCCTCAGGATCCTTTGCTTAGCAATTACTCTCAGAAAGTTTGCTCCTAAGGTCTCTTATTTTATCACTTGGTACTCTTTTCTGGACACTTCTTCTGTAACTTCAAATTTTAATGTATAACTTAGACCTCTCCCATGAGCTTAAGACTCATATATCCAGTGTTCTGAAGTTCACTACTTGAGTTTTATGCAAACACTACAAAGTGAAGATGTTTAATTTTAAAATCATCCTCTCTGGCCAAAAGTTGCTTCTCTTCACGTGTTGTCTTATCTCAGTAAATCCACCTAGAAACATGAGAGTCATTCAATATTCAGAGTACTTCCTAAATCCCCACATCAAATCTATCCTTCAGTTCTTCTGGTTTTAGCTCCAAGACATCTCTCAAATCCATCCTCTGTCTCCATGCCCTGCTACCATGTGACTTCACCATCATCTCTGTCTGGGCTACCTCAATAGCTTCCTAATTGGCCTCATTATTTCTACACTAAAAACTTTGTAGTATGAAAAATTTCAAACATACACAAATGTAAAGAGAATACTATAATGAACCTCCATATACCCACCCCCCAGAATTAATGAACCCCATTTTCTTCTTGTCCTTTCATTGCTCATCTTCAATCCATTCTCTATACTTCCACTTTGCACCCCGTGTCATGTTTCTGAAGTGCCATTGTTACTATGTCATTATTCTGTTTAACAGTGCTCAGTGGCTACCATTGTCCTAAGGATCATGTCTACATTCCTTATCTGGTTATAATATTCCTCATGATCTGACCTTTCACACCATTCCAACCACATCTCCTACCAAGCCTTACACTTAAAATTTTCCCAGATCACTGGCCTTTTTTCATTTCCTTAAACATGTGACAACTTCAGCCAGCTAATTCCCACATATCCTGCAAGTCTCATTTCCCTTCCTCAGGAAAGGAAGTTCCCTAATCTGGTAGGTTCCCTACACCAATAACTAATGCTTATTGAGCACTTTCTTAAGCATTATGTAATTTAATCTACACAGCACCCCTATGAGATAGATAACCAAAAAACCAAACTCACTGCCATCAAGTCAAATCCGACTCATAGCGACCCCTCCTTGGGTTTCTGAGGCAGTATCTCTACAAAAGGAGATTGCCCGATCTGCCTTCCGAGGAGTGGCTGGTGGGTGTGCACCACCAGCCTGCTGGGTTACAGTCAAATACTTTAGGCACTATGCCACCAGAGTTCCTATGAGATAAATATTACCCCCATTTTACTAGATAAGGAAACTGAGGCACAGAGAGTTTTTATTATCTTGTCAACATTCATACAATTAGGGGGAAGACAGGTAGTTTTGCCTGAGTCCTAACTCTTCCTCCTTGTTATATACTCTAATAGCACCTTGGGGAATCTGGTCCTGGCTGAATTAATGAAGGGATTGGGCATCTGGAAGCTGAGTATGTCTCATATTTCTCGAGATTGTCTTTGTCCCTGTGTACGCAGATAGAAGTAACAGCAGTGGCAGGGACATGACTAAGACATGGTGTTCTACTCAGGCACCCACTACCATTGACAACTGTGCCTTTGGTTCATGAGTATTAGTATTTTAAAGCTATAGAATCTTGAGCTAAGAAGAACTAGTATTAACAATATGAAGAACTATTGTTAGAGTGTATTGCAGTGAACATATTTTGCCAGAAAACATTTTGATCCGTTCACTCTCCCAGTCTCAGTTGCTGCAGACTTTCCTTGAATATTCTTCCCTTTACCTAGAGATTTTCCTGTTGTTTTCAGGTGGTTGAAGTTAACTGCCCTCTATTAGCCATCTGGTAGTGTAGTTCCTGTGGCATTTGACTGCTAACCAGAAGGCTGGCGGTTCAAATCCAACAGCCACTCCTCCGATGGAAGGTTAGGCAATCTACTTCCATAGTGATACTGCCTCAGAAACCCAAGAATGGGTCGCTACGAGTTGGGTCTGACTCGACTGCACATAACAACAATAACAACATATATAGTGGAAACATACATACTGTGCCTGGAACATGAAAACCTTCTTAATTACTTTCATGTATGCCATAGCTCAGATATCATGGTTCTAGAGGGGGTACTGTGAATCATAGCACCATGAGAGAGACAGGGCCCATGGACACAAGTATCAGAAAAGAAAGCTGTTCCTCTCTATACTGTGGGTTCCATTGCTATAGGAGGAAATTTAAAGCCATATTATAATACTAGATCTTGCACAATCTTTGGAATGGTTTTCCTTTCTGAACACATTCTGATGGCATGCTTTTGTGGGTGTCATGTAAGTCAATAAAATCTCTTGAGAGCCTTTGAGTGAAGTCTTTACTCTTGTTGACCCAGACCTTAAAAAGACTCAAGGCTAGGCATGGGCTGGGTTCTGGCCTTGGAACCTGTTTCCCCTCACTGTCCTCATCTCTCCACCAGTGATAGCACTTGCCAGTCTGCTCTTCAGTTCCTAGCATTCCAAACTTAAGAAAATATCTCCAACATGTGTTTGTAAAATTGTTTTGGTTTATCCTAACTTAAGGAACCAAGGACCCACAAATACCCCATTGCCCTCCAACTGGTTTTTCCTTCCAAGAACGGGTCACAGCATATTTGTAAATAAAGACTTACCAGCACTGATACATCCTCTGTAGTTTCTTTATGCTTTGGACAAATGAAAAGCATTATATTACTTTTAAATTATGTAATGCATTTTATACTTAAGACAACTAGAGTTAGAATCCATCAATCCATTCATTTTATTCACCAGATATTTACTGAACACATACTATGTGCCAGGTACAATTATTGGTTATAGAGATAACAGTAATGAAAATAATAAATTATTTGTCATCAAGGACCTCAAATGCTATATCTTAAAACACACATACACACAAAAAACCCTAATTATTTGAGACATAAATAAAAGATTATTTAATACCATCAAAACAATGAAACTTGCAATTGCCAATTAAACCCTCTGCTCATCTTAGATTTGTGGAAGACATATACAATTATGTATTGCCTGAAGCCACTAATATTAGGGATGTTTCTTAAAGAACATACCACCTATTCCAAAGTGTCAGTTTCTCTCTAACATTCAATAAGTAACATTATATTACCACACTGTCTTGGTAACTTAGCATTGCTTCTCCTCACACATACGGTCTACCAAGAATTATTTTTTAGCTTTGATCACATTAGAAAAAAAGGATTTGGGTGCTGTAGGCTATATTTGAAAGAAGAGATTTCTGATTTATTCATGGGGTGAGCCTATTGCCTTTTGACATACCAGATCTTTATAAAATACCAAAGTAAAATAGTCATTAAGTTTTTATAGTTACCTGAAATGATATTCCCTATGTGCCACCCACACAGACAATAAAATCAGTAACAATAGAATTGTTTTTCTTTTGTATAGCATCCTTTCCTAAGAGGAAAAAGAATCAGGTGAAAGTAGTAAATAAAATAAAGCACAAATGAAATGAAATTAAGTATAATATATACAGAGTAAGAGTAAGAGTGAGCTGTGGCAAATCCTGCCTCTCCATGACAAAAATTAGATAATTCAATAGACATTGGCCAGCGACCATCCTTGGATGTTGCTGTATGTGAAAACAGAATTGAGTCAGAGCTGCTGCAGAAGGTCTTAGGACATTAGCTGGCCTTGGCTGGCCTTATGCAAGAGACCTTAGAGACTTCATCTGTGTTTTCTGAAGTAATTTTACCTCCATACGAGAAACATACAAATGTCACCTTTCTAACTTAACTCACAAGCTTGGGTGTCAGTCACTGTAAAGAGATAATTATGAAAATACTTGCATAGGCTCTACAGAAGTACATAAATATGAAATAAATTATTTTTAATTACACAATATAATGAAAGTAATCATTCCAAGAAAGGTGATAGAACTGATAACAGCATAAAATATATGCCCCTTTTCAAAAGTATTTGAATACAAAGTTGAGTCTGAGCACTGGCTGGAGGTTCAGTTCTAATTTTTAGGTTCTTACCACACTGACCTTGGATTTTCAGCCATTAAATTTACAAGTACTTTGTGTCATTTAGCCAATTAAATATTTGTCTGTTTACAGAAAAGGAATTGGATATGGCTCAATCTGTTTGAAATTAAGAATAATCTCTTACCTTCTTTTCTCTAAGATCATGTAAGAACTTTATACAGCTTCCTCCTTAAAGGCACTTATTTATGCTATGATGGTTTGGGAAGGCACATAGGGAATCTTAAGAGGTCAAACAGAGTTCAGATAGGACATTTTGAGAAATCATGAGTTAGATAACCTAATATTGGTTCCATGACACTCTCCAGTTTGTATATTATTATTTCAGTCTTCTGTAAGTGATGATGTCATCAGATTCTCTTTTGATGATGAAATAATTAGATAGCTGCAGACATAACTGTTTTATGCCAGTAGTTTCTCTTTATCATTATCAAGGGACAGAATTTTGTTCAGGGAGGATTTTTAAAGTTCTAATTTATTTTTAAAGCTATATAATACATTGTTAATTGAGGTATAATGTACATAAAATAGAACACAAGTGATTAAGTATACAGTTCATTACATTTGTACTTATATATACATATACATGTACATATGTCCATGAATTCAGTAACTGTCCTTGTGCCTCTGAGTTGATACCCTCCCCTCCCAATAAATGTGCTGATTTCTATTACCACAGTTGAGTTATTCCTGTTCTAGAACTTCATATAAATGAAATTGTATGGCACGTACTCTTTGTGTTGTATGTATAGACTCTTTTGCTCGAATGTATTGTGATTCAATCACACTGTTGAATGTACCTGACACCATACAGACATTTAATTTGAAATGAATCATAGTTCTAAAAAAAAAGCCAAGGCTGAAAAAATTTTAGAGGGAAATATAGGAGAATACCTATGTATGTTGGAGGTAGGTAAGTGTCTTTTAAACAGGTCACAGAAAGTAATAACCATAAAAATGATAAACTACGCTTACTTAACACTTAAAAACTTCTCATCAAAATACACCAATGATATGAATAACCAAGTCATGTGGTTGTTGTTGTTATTTGCCATCGAGTGAAGGGAAAAAAAAAATATATGCAAAACTTTTCTGATAATGTACTGTTACGATCGATATATAACGCTAATAAAAAGACAAATAACTTAGATTAGAAATACACAAAAGATTGAACAGACACTTCACACACACACACGTAAAATACCTATATATATGAAGGGCTGATAAGCACAGGAAAAAGTGCTCAGAACACAAGTTTTTAAATGTTTAGTGTTTGTATTAGTATGCTTCGCACCATCATTTTGTTTTTATGTGTCTTTATATAATTATTTATCTGTGTCTTTATATACTTATTTGAAGTGTAGTTTGGCTTTATCTTATAAACAACCTATAATCAGATCTTGCTTTTTTATATAGCCTGTCGGTCTCTACCTTTTAATTG